CTCTCTGATTTTTATATATTTGTACTACTTCTTTAGGAGATCTAATCATTATCTTTATTTATCCAGTGAAATCAGAGTCTATGACTCCTGGAGTCACTTCAAAAAAATTTTTTTTTTTTGTAATTTGAACTTCTGCCAATGATTAAGCCAAATGTACCCAAAGGCAGACCTCCTTTAACGGAGGTCTCTATTAATTGGGTCCCTTCAATAAGGGAGAGTATATAATCTTTATTTGCTGCCAAATCCAACCCAGCACTTCCTGGAGTGGCTCTAGGAAGATCACACATAGTAAAAGGTTCAGTCAAAGGATTCAGTTCAAATTGTTTGTCTTTTTCCTCACCGGAATCCACCATCTCTATCCCTCTTTCTTTTAAGGGGCTGAGGGCTTGCCCCTCTCCTCATTGTTTTTGTCTCTTTTTCTCTAGGGGTGTACCATCTTTATGATACTTAGACTTACATTTATTTTTTTAATGTTTTTTTTTTTTTTTCACCTGGGACACAGCCCAGGAGGTCCTCCCTTATTACCAGGTTTTTTCTCTCCATTATTGTTTCTTTTATTTTTACTAAGACATCCTTTACTCATGTGACCTGGCTTTCCACATGAGAAACAGACCCCCTTATTATTGGTCTTAGGTCTGCTTTTAAGATTCTGAATATAGGTGCTAAAATGTTGTCCCTTCATTGCTGCAGCATAGGCCATTTCTTGGACCACAGCTGGTGAGGCATCTAAACATACTTTTATAGAAACCTTGCTCCCTCGACCCTCCAGCATATGCCCCAAAATTGAGAGAAACAAGTCTCTGTTCTTGGATGGAGAATGCCCCATGATTGTTACCTTCTCGTCTTCTTAACCTGATGATCCTTTACCAGTGAGCCTGCAGCGCTCTGACGAGGTCCTATCCTTGCCTGAAATTATTAAAAAGAGAGAAAAGGGGAAAGATAGCTTACCCTCCGAGGGTCCCTGTTTGGGCGCCACCTGCGATGGACCAGCCCAGACCGGAGCAGTTCAGTCCCATGAGAACAGGGTCCTCGAGAGAGTGGGCAAGGATTCAGTGAGTGACAAACAGACAGACACACAAGAACTTGGTGAAAGTCTGAGTGTATTTTTGCAGCTGCAAGGTTTGAAATATATACAGCAAAGATTGCAAAAGTTCATCATCAGTATGACTGTTCTGTAATTAGTCACTTCCTGAGATTTTCAGTAAAAGTGAAACAATTTTGCCAACCATCATGTATAGCCAAAACACATTTCTTTATCTTATCAACCTTCAACCTGGTAGCAAATTCCTGCTTTATGATACTGTGGTTTTTATTACGCACTCAGAATTCTGCTTAGTTTTGTGACTTCAGGTCAGAATGACCTTAAACCACCAAGTACTTTCAATATCAACTGTGCCTGATATTTCACTTTTAACTATTTGATAACATTCCTTGCTTATTTGTAGTGGGCCATTGTGCTTCTAAGTCATTCCTTA